CATTCATTTCTGCCAGGAGATCAAATTGTGCTCTATATGCTTCTCAGGGTGCCTTCCCATCGAATTCATGTGGCTTCCTTCGTATTAGTTCACCCCTATTGCTGACATTCATATCTGGGATGTGACTTCTAACGGGACTGAAGATGTCTGCATTAGGGTTTAGCTGCAGGGTCTGGGCTGATTAAGTCGATAGTTAATGTATCCTCCTTCTGTAAAATACAATAAATCATCCTTTAATGTATTTAATTCGCTCTAAAATTTACTAATGTTTTCCGTTTGTTTCCTTTCTTGTTCCAGTTGCCACTGCTGTAGTCTCACTTCTTGTTTATGTTCTTTCTCCGCCAATAGCTGTTGTAATCTCTCTTCTTGTTTCTTTTCTTTTTCCTCCAACAACTGCTGTAATCTCTCTTGTTTATTTTGCTGTTCCAGTTGCTACTGTTGCAGGTTTTCTTGCAACTGCTTTTGTCTCTCTTCCTGTTTATTTTATTTTTCCTCCAACCACTGCTGTAATATCTCTTCTTGTTTCTTTTCTTTTTCCTCCAACAACTGCTGTAATCTCTCTACTTGTTTATTTTGCTGTTCGAGCTGCCACTGTTGCATGTTTTCTCGCAAATGCTGTTGTCTCTCTTTTTGTTTATTTTCGTTTTCCTCCAACAGCTACTGTAATATCTCTTCTTGTTTCGTTTTTCGTTCTTCTTGTTTCTTTTCTTTTCTATTTTCTCGTTCTTCTTGTTTCTTTTCCTGCTCTTGTATTGCTGCCATCAGATCTGCTAAGCTGTAGTTTGATTTCACAGTTTGTTACGTCTCTGGTCGTTGGTTTGTTTCCCGTATAATTTCTTTCCGATGAAACTTTACCGACACAAGTCCTTTCTTAAATAAAATTGGTTTATTCTTTCTGGATACAACTTTGCAATACACTTAATTTCAACAGTCTCTCTCTGTCTGCAGTTCAATTACCTTACACTGTTGCCGTCACTTCTTACCGATCTTATATACATGAATACCGTATTTTTCTAGAAGTTCATGACGTGTTACTAGGGTCACGTGACTTCCGCTGTCTTAACAATATGTTATATACTACATCAAACCAATAGTACAGCCAGGTAACTAAACTATTAAAAGATGTTGTTCTATATAATGATATGTTATATACTACATCAAACTAACAGTACGGTCAGGTTTAATCATATATATGCTTTATTCAAACTTTTAAATTTGACGTTTGATTAAAGATACACATATCTTCGTCCAAATAACGCGCTTTATTTATAGTGAAAGGACTTTTTCTAGGGTTAATTCTATTGGATAAATGAGTTAAGTAACATTCTAAAAACATCGAAATATCGGTAAATCAAGTACTTATGTATACATGCCTGAGGTGCTAAGGTAGCTTACAGAATCCAACCCCAGATTCTAGCGTTGTAAGTCCGTAGACTTATCTCTGTCCCATCAGGTGGCCTTTTATTATGATGTTTGTTTGAAGTTAAGCACAAAGCAACGCGATTGGCTATCTGTACTCTGCCCACCACGAGTATCGAAATCCGAATTCTAGCATTATAAGTCCGCAGACATACCGCTGTGCCACTGGGGGGGGGGGGAATTCAAGTTTTTAAAAATTAATACCGTTTTGGTTCAAGCTATCGGTCATAGGTGTCCCTTGTATTTGCTAGAAAATTATATTAGCCAAAATTATACAAATAATTCTTTGCATAAAACTTTTATATAAATACTTTGTTAAAAATACTTAACTTAAGGATTTATATAGCAATTTTGTTAAAGCATTAGTAAACTTAAATAACAGTCTAGCTGGGCTGTTTTAATTTTTCGCCTTCTTTAAAATGTACCGCTCAGTTATAATTGTAGTGATTTATATGTTTGTTGTAGAACATAGACAAGTAACTGAACTATTCCATTTAAATTATTTAAATATAGATATCAGAGAAAAAGATTTAGTATTCCGGCTTCATCGTTTCCAAAGATGTCCGAATCTGTTAATTGCAGATATTATTGATTCGTGTTTTATGTCGAGCGATTCATTGTTACTCCATGCAATGTAGTAACAATTTCCCTAACAATTTACTGTCAGCTTAGACAGAAGTCAAAATCGGCAATAAGGGGTAACAGAGTTGCCCCAAGTCTGATTTTCGATGTTGGTATAATAGCCATTAAAAGCACGATATTTTCTGAGTTGGTAGGGGAAGTTAGCCTGCAAGGTTTATTATTATTATTTGTAATTAAGCACAAAGCTACATAATGGGCTATCTGTGCTCTGCCCACAACGGGTATCGAAATCCAGATTTCAGCATTGTAAGTCCGCAGACATACCGCTGTACCACTGGGAGGCAACCTGTAAGGTAACACGAGTTTCCAAGCAACGTCACGCGGATGTCATGGTGTAAGCAGTCCGTCGGTAATCTAGTCATGGTTAAGGCGGTACGTGCAAAAATAACTTCCTATTTTTTAAACATATTCCCAACATTAAGTCTTGTCCTTGTTCATTCGATACCTATACAAATATGACAGCCATGTTCTATTTTCTAAGCATATTCCCAACATTAAGTCTTGTCCTTGTTCATTCGATACCTATACAAATATGACAGCCATTTTCCATTTTCTAAGCATATTCCCAACATTAAGTCTTGTCCTTGTTCATTCGATACCTATACAAATATGACAGCCATTTTCCATTTTTAAACATAATCCTAACATTAAGACTTGTCCTTGTTCATTCGATACCTATACAAATATGACAGCCATTTTCTATTTTTAAACATATTCCTAACATTAAGACTTGTCCTTGTTCATTCGATACCTATACAAATATGACAGCCATTTTCTATTTTTTAAACATATTCCCAACATCTCGTTCTTGTCCTTGCTCATGCAACATTTGTGGAAATACGTCACTTCCTATTTTGTACAACATATCGCAAATATTAAACCTTGTCCCGGCTCCTGCAATACTTTTTGTGTTTATACAACATATCTTAACATTAAGCCTTGTTCTTGCTCAGGTGACATCTGTAGAAATAGAAAAATATTTGTTTTTTTTGTTGTTGTTGTTTTACATACCTCCAAAATTCAATTGGGTCCTTGGTCACACGGTACCTGCTGTTAATCACTTCATGTGTTACGAGAAACATCTCCAACATCGTGAAAAGCACTGCTATAACCCACAAATGCTTTCGGATCAACAGTCAAGGCCACCATCGCCATAAAATAACCCTGTAATGTTCATATTATCTAGCTAAGTTAACAAAACATCATAGTTTGAGTTGCGTCGTTAAAAGGCTGTTTAGAAGTCGTTCTCGCTGGAAAAACGCACATAATTTTTATTAATACAGTGAAAAGATATGTTTGTTGATCTACAAAAATTATAATGCTCAACTCTAACACATAATTCAACTATATAGTCGCAGACAAAAGTATTGACGTCGTACTTTCGGTATAGGATAATTCACAAACGCATGGGAAATAAAGCAATTAGTGAACATTTGCCCGTAAGTAATATGAAATAAACCAAAGTACATAATTTCTTGTAACTTAGCAAACAATATTTATGAAAAACAAGTTAACTTACATGATTCCAATGTTTATAACAAAAAATATAGACACCTTTCATTAAAAGTCAGTAAAATCTCAATAGAACTATTTAAAATAAATATTAATTGATTGAAAAACCATTGCAAAGTAATTTAGCTACACTATAAAGTCGGCCCCTTTAGTGGCACAGTGACAACTCTGAAGGCTTATAACGTAAAAAACGAGTTTCGATACGCGTGGTTGGCACATCATAAGTAGCCCAATGTGTAGCTTTTTTTGTATCAGAAATGAGGTAATGATTTCCAACATCTGTTGAAGGAGAACTTTGTAGCAACAAAGTAGATGATGTTCACAACAAAAGAGTTGGATTTACTCTCGAGAAAAGCACTTGTAGAGTTTACAACAGAGTAATGGCTACCAAGCTGTATCAAAAAAAAATATATATATACTAAGTACCAGAAACCACAATCAGAGCAATAATGAAGAAGTGCCACAAAATAAACTTAACTGAAACGTATGAAAGAAGCGGAGTCTAAAGAAAATTACAGTTACATCTGGTAGGAAAATCGTTTGAGTAGTTAACAAAAAAAGAGAAAAACAAAAGATTAATAGCCAAGGACTTAAAGAAAAATTTAAAAGCATCAAATATAATAGTGGACGAAAGATTTGTACATAAGCAACTGAACACAAAAAAACGTTGTTTGAACACGTAGATCTCGCTGCAAACACTGTTATAGAAAGTTCATAAAACAAACCTTCTAAATTTGCCTAAAAATATTAATAGGAATTTGAAACATTCTTCCAGAAAATTCTCTGTTACGATTAGAATAAAATAGAACTTTTCTTCAAAAATGAGCCACAGTATTTTTGGAGGAGAAAAGAAAAACCATCAATGGAAAATACCTTGTACGTACAGTTAATTGGTTAGCTTGTTGGATTTCACACAAAGCTACACGATGACTATCTTCGCTAGTCATTCCTAATTTTGAAATGATAGACTAGAGAGAAGCCAACTAGTGTACATGAATACCTTCCAACTGTTGGCTACTCTTTATCGATAAATAGTGAGATTGACCGTTACATTATAACGACCTCATGGCTGAAAGGTCGAGCATGTTCGTTCTGTTGTGGGTTTCGATCTCGCGATCCACAGACTTCGAGTCGAAGGCCCTAACCACCGGGTCATAACAGATTGGTTAAACTGGAAGTGTTATAATCATGATATGGATTTTTTTTAGCAGTGTAGATTCTCAAGACATTCATATGATTGAAGAGCGAATGGATGCAGCCATGTGTCAAAACATTACACAAAGTACAATGATACCATCTGCTCGTAGGCTGATTGGCAAAAGGTTTATCTTCTAATATTACAATGACTCAAAACATATGGGTAAGTCAACTCTGGAATTCATGAAAAAATCGAAGATAAAAGTGCTGGAATGCCTTTGAGATTCACCACAATTCCATCCAATATACACTCTTTGGACTGATATGATAAAGCTGTAGTCAACCATTATCCATTAAATCTGTTTGAGCTGAAGGAAATATGCAAGATAAAATGGGTCAAGATTTTTCCAACAATATTTAACGCACTGGTTGACAATTATCATAAACGTCTGAAAACTGTAATACAAGCAAGAGGAAGACACAGAAAATACTAAAGCAGGGGGTGGCAATACTTTTGTGTCGAACGAATACTTTAAATGGTATAATAAGAATAGGGGTAAATTCGTTTTTCTACGGCTGTATAGAGTGTGGATGAGACGGATTTCCAATATCATGGAATATTTCACTATATGATGAAATCCGATTTTATCGGATAAGCAGATGACATTTTATTCAATGAATTATTTCAGAGCGTTACGCAGACGTCATACTATATGAACGTGCATCACATATAATATACATTGCATCATCAGGCCTATTGGTACTTTCTACTAATTTATTAACATAATAGCATTTTCCTGGTTTAAAAGAATTGATGCGCTGGTAGTCGTTATGTTATTTTGCCATTGTATGCCAGAGGTAGTCATGGTAGCGTCGACAACAGTAATGGCAAGTACAGTATAAACAACAGTCTGAGTAGGGGATAAGTAGTTTAAAGCACTGTATCATACCGCCACATGCCTCATTCATTTATGGGGCTTGCACTGACCATTCATTACTTACATTCTTATTAATTTTTGGGAAAGCAATAACAAAGTGACTAGTTTAATACTACACCATCATAAAGCCCCCCCCCCCAGTGACACAGCGGCATGTCTGCGGACATACAACGCTAGAAACCGGGTTTCGATACCCGTGGTGGGCAGAGAACAGATAGCCCATTGTGTAACTTTGTGCTTAACTTCAAACAAACCATCATAAAGTGGTAGCTCACGACTGTGGCACATTTTCAATATGTATGGTCACATCAACTATCTGACTAGAATACATATGAATCCTATCAAGAGTTGGGTATCTGATTTCCAAATAGAACTTCTATTTATCCCATCCTTAACTTTAAGAGTGGTAGAGCATCGTACAAAGCGAGAATTTTTCTAAACTGAAAAAGTGAGATAAGGTGTGATTCAAACTCGTACCTGTCTCTACTCAATGTGTATATATATTTAACATAGGTCTATATTATACTAAAACAATTTTGGAACCTCACCATATCGTTACATTCAATATTGCCACATTCATTCATCCTATATTTACTATCTGACGACTATGCATCTCAACATTAGCTTACAGCACAGATGCCGCTAGTCGTAATGTTATCATATCTAAAGCACACCTGTTAGCTTTCCATAATCCATGTATTCTTTGATGATGGTGATTTCCCAGTGTTTCTTACGATATTCCAATAGTTTAAAAATCCATAAGCCCTTCACCTGGTGACTTGACAGATATGTCTTTTTGTTCTCCAGCTGTTTGAGGCATGTGATCATTGAACAGGAGGTATGACTGAAAACCTTATTGTGGTGAACCGATACCCTGTTGGCCTGGTTTTCGTACAAAGCTGTATTTCTGTATGAAACAAAGAGTCCTAAACCGTTGGTCTGATAGTAATATGAGCTAATTTTGACCTTTCTATACACTGTCCTAATCCCTAGCTTGTACATAATTGGGTTTCCAGCATTGATCACGAATCCCTTTTTAAACGTTTCGTGACATGCCATGTACCAATTTTTTTTCACCCACTGACCATTAGAATTGTTATAGCTATCAAGTTATACACATAATTCGCCTCATTTTCCAACGGAATATGGCAAGATTATTTGAATGTTTGCCTGATATTAGACAACTCTGATTCAGTGGTTTCCATTTTAATTAAAAATCATCCTTCATGATTTTGTTAAGTATAGATCACTTTGGTATCAATGCTACCCTCTGAAGTTGTGTAGATAAAATATAAACATAAATACTGCTCTTTAAACACTCTTTATTCTCCCTGTATCATTATATTTAATCACAAAAACCTTTGTTACATATTACTAAACATCATCTCTAATTCTTCTACACTTTATATTGTCTACCTCGTTTAAACACCCTTGGTTCCAGAATGTCAAAACCCTCATTGACTGCTTTAACAGCTTCTGCAGTAAAATGTGCCATCTCGGAAAGTGTCAGTTTCTTTAGGTGGCTTCAGATATTGGGTGAACTGATTAGCCTGTCTCTTATCAAGACGAAGGTGTGAGGTGACTGGCAACACAACGATTCCCATAGCAACAACAAAGCTCAAGAAAAAGGTAAATACGATTAATATCGTGCATGCTCGTAACCTGAAATAGAAACATGCGTCACCATTTTAAACAATGTGCACTATATTTCCACGTAATAATCATGAAAGGGTAAAAACTGATGGAGTTTATTACATAAGTCAATATCATGGAGAGGCAGTGTGATGGTTTGGGGGGGGGGGGTCTGCTGAGGCAACAGGAAATATTTACAAGAAAAGATGGAATAATGGACCATCACAAGTACCATCAGATACCAATGATATTTCCAGTGGTTTGTGTATTATTGGTAAAGAATTCCACTACCAAGAATATAAGGACTCCAAACACTCATCCAACCTATGCAGAAATTACTTAGCTAAGAAAGAAACTGTTTGAGTCATTCAAATGATGCAATGGCCCCCACAGAGCCCCGATCTCAACTCAGTTGAGCAGATCTGGAATTTGATAGATCAAAAACCAGACAAATCAAAAGTTACTTCCAAAGAAACTTTATGTGAGTGTGTTAGAGACATTTGGAGTAAAATCCCAAAGGACACTTTGATTAAATAAGTTGCAACAAGGCCTGAAAGACTGTTGTAGTTATTATAGTAAAAGGGTGGCACACAGAATATTAATTGTTTGCTGAACTCAAGCACTTCAACTGAGTTTCTATTGTACTAAATATGAAGATTAATAACATTTTGACATTTCATCTGTGATTTACCTTTCATTGTTCTTTGAAAGTAGTCTGAAATCTAATGTTTGACTTTGTCCTAACACTTTTGCACAGCACTGTAAAAGGACATTCTGAAAAAGAAGAAATAATATGAAGTTAACTGCAGCACAATCGAATCATGTATCGAACAATGGCTAATGAACCACGATGAATCGTAATTTCGGTGAATCATTACAGCACTAATGAACATGGGGTAATGGCCTTTGGTAAGGATACCAAATATTTGTTTA